TTTGTCTTTTATTCTTGTTTTTTATTCATATTTATATCAATATTGATCATTTACATTTTCTAATTTTTATTTTAGTTTTGACAGGGGAAGTTGTCCAGATCATAAATAGGTACTCTCTTTTCTATATTTGTTTGGGGTTTTTTTTTTTTTTGGTCCCTCCTATGAGTCCGCATTCTACGTTCCATCCTGGACTCGTATGAATGCGTTCCAGCTTGAAACGCGCAGAAGCCGAAAAACAGGAAGCGGAAGTGACGTCCAAAAACACCCGGATTTTTATATGTGTCCCAGCGTGACACGCAAGAAATACCAGGTGAAAACCTTTCCTTCAATTCAAGTGGGATATTTAAATAAAGATTGCGAGAACAGGAGGAATATCCCTGAAGAAGTCCACAGGACGAAATGTAGAATATAGACTTACATTCATTTGTTAAACCAGGTCCACTTGTAAGTGGAGACATGCCTTTTTATCTTTTGATCCTGTAAGTGCAATTGTAATAAATTTCTTGCGTTTATATTTCTATCTGCACTATTCTTTGGTCTCTATTAACCTTTCAAGTGTAAGAAGACTCCTATATATTGAAGACTTTATTCCACACCTGATGATGTGCCTGATATTCCTTTATCTCTTGTGACTTCTCATTACATTGCGTGTCTTTGTCTTAGTATACACTGATCACAGTATGTTCAGTTTGTATTTTCTATAGACATTACAGACTACGATTTCTTAGAACAAGGTTGTATTATCACTTTATTGTTTCTAGGGATCGACCGATATTGATTTTTTAGAGCTGATACCGATACCGATATTCTGTGAACTTTCAGGCCGATAGCCGATATAATTTGCCGATATTCTGTACATTTACCATTTTGGAAAATAAAAACTATTTCTAAAGGTAAATGCACAAAATATACATGCCACGTGTAGTGGATGCAGTGTGTTTAGACAGGGGAGCTGTGTGTTTGTGTAGTGTGTGTGTTGTGGATGCAGTTTGTGTAGTGTGTGTGTGTTGTGGATGCAGTGTGTGTTTGTGTAGTGTGTGTGTTGTGGATGCAATGTGTGTTTGTAGTGTGTGTGTTGTGGATGCAATGTGTGTTTGTGTAGTGGATGCAGTGTGTATTAGTGTAGTGTGTACATAATGAAAGCAGAGTGTTTGTGTAGTGTCTGGGTAGTGTGCGTAAAGTGAATGCTGTATATACTAAATGCAAAGTGTGTGTGTTTGTGTAGTGTGTGCGTATATAATGAATGCAGAATGTGTATTTATGTAGTGTGTGTATAGTGAATGTAGTGTGTTTATATTACATAGTTACATAGTTACATAGCTGAAAAGAGACTTGCGTCCATCAAGTTCAGCCTACCTCACATTTGTTATTTACTGTTGATCCAAAAGAAGGCAAAAAAACCCAGTTTGAAGCACAATTTTGCAACAAGCTAGGAAAAAAATTCCTTCTTGACCCCAGAATGGCAGTCAGATTTATCCTTGGATCAAGCAGTTATTACCCTACATTGAAAGATTATATCCTTGAATATTCTGTTCTTGCAAGTATGCATCTAGTAGCCGTTTGAACATCTGTATGGACTCTGATAAAACCACTTCTTCAGGCAGAGAATTCCACATCCTGATTGTTCTTACAGTAAAAAAACCTTTCCTTTGCCTTAGACGAAATCTTCTTTCTTCCAGTCTAAACGCATGGCCTCGTGTCCTATGTAAAGTCCGGTTTGTGAATAGATTTCCACACAATGGTTTGTATTGGCCCCGAATATATTTGTATAATGTTATCATATCCCCTCTCAGGCGACGTTTTTCTAAACTAAATAGGTTTAAATTTGTTAACCTTTCTTCATAGCTGATATGTTCCATTCCTTTTATTAATTTTGTAGCCCGCCTCTGCACTTTTTCTAGTGCCATAATATCCTTCTTTAGAACAGGTGCCCAAAATTGCACAGCATATTCAATATGTGGTCTTACCAGTGATTTATAAAGAGGCAAAATGATATTCTCGTCCCGAGAATGAATGCCCTTTTTCATGCATGACAATACCTTACTGGCCTTGGCCACTGCTGATTGACATTGCACATTGTTGTATAGTTTGTTGTCTATAACAATTCCCAAGTCCTTTTTGTGTGTTGTTATCCCTAATTCGCTTCCATTAAGGGTATACGTTGCTTGTGTATTCTTTACGCCGAAGTGCATAACTTTGCATTTTTCAACATTAAATTTCATCTTCCATTTGAGTGCCCAGTCCCCCAGTCTATCTAAATCCCTCTGCAGCAAAGTAATATCTTGCTCACATTGTATTGTTTTACAAAGTTTGGTGTCATCTGCAAACACTGAAACATGACTTTCAATGCGGTCTTCAAGATCATTTATAAACATGTTAAATAGAAGGGGTCCCAGAACAGACCCCTGAGGGACACCACTTGCCACCTCTGTCCAGCTTGAAAATTTACCATTAATGACAACTCTTTGTACTCTGTTTTTAAGCCAATGTTCTACCCAAGAACAAGCATTTTCATCTAGACCGATTTCCTTGAGTTTGAACACTAATCTATTGTGTGGAACTGTATCAAATGCCTTGGCAAAATCCAAATAGATCACATCCACGGCAACACCCTGATCTATACTTCTACTTCTTCGTAGAACGCAATCAAGTTAGTTTGACATGACCTGTGCTTCATAAAACCATGCTGATTTTTGCTGATAACCATGTTCTTCTCAAGGAATTCTTGAATATTATCCCTTAATAACCTTTCAAATATTTTACCAGCCACAGAAGTTAAGCTCACAGGTCTATAATTTCCAGGCAAGGATTTTGAACCCTTTTGAATATAGGAACCACATCTGCCTTCCTCCAATCCTCCGGAACACTTCCTGAAAGAAAAGAATCTTGAAAGATTAAAAACAGAGGTTCACTTATTTCTGCACTTAGTTCCTTAAGTACACGTGGATGGATACCGTCAGGCCCTGGAGCTTTGTTTATATTAACTTTCTTTAGTTGCTGCAGCACCTTGTCTTGAGTTAACCAATTACAATTATTCTGCAAGTTTTTAGTAGCAATCATTTGCACATCTATTGCCATGGGTTCTTCCTTAATATATACGGAGGAGAAATAGTTATTTAAAATTCCTGCCTTTTCCTGGTCTTCATTAATTAACACCCCCGTTTCAGTTTTTAGTGTACCTACACTTTCATTTTGTTTTTTTTTAGAATTTATGTACTTAAAAAATGCTTTGGGGTTGGTTTTGCTCTCTTCAGCAATCATTATTTCATTTTGAAGTTTAGCAAGTCTAATTGCCTTTTTGCACGCATTATTTGCATCCTTATATCTTTTATAAGATGCATCTGATTTGTCCGATTTAAATGCTTTAAATGCCCTTCTCTTAGTTGTAATCTCTTGTTTTACTTCTCTACTAAGCCATGTTGGTTTTAATTTGTTTCTTTTATATTTATTTCCCAATGGTACATACTGAGAAATGTACCTTTGTAATATTTGTTGGAAGATGATCCATTTATCCTCAGTGTTCTTTTCACTAAAGAGTTTATGCCAGTCAATATATTGTAAAGCTTCCCTTAACTTATTGAAATTGGCCTTTTTAAAATTATATGTTTTAGTATTCCCCATGTGCTTTTGTTTTTTTGAGTTTATTTCAAAGGACACTATATTGTGATCACTATTTCCCAAGTGCTCACCTACTTGAATGTTGGTCAAAAGATCAACGTTGTTTGTTAAAACCAGGTCCAGACAAGCATCCATTCTAGTTGGTGCTTGTACAAGTTGTGACATGAAGGTGTCATTTAACAAGTTTAAAAACCTAATTCCCTTTGCTGAGGCACTAGTCCCTCTGTCCCAATTTATATCCGGGTAATTAAAATCTCCAATAATTAAAGTGTTACCCAGATTTGCAGCTTTCTCAATTTGCTCAAACAGCTGTTGTTCCTCGTCAATATTAACATTAGGTGGTTTATAACATATCCCAACCAATAGTTGGTTTCCCTTCTTTTCCCCCAAGCAGATATTTACCCATAAAGCTTCCACATTATCCTCCTCGCATATCATTTGCTTAACATTTGGCTTTAAATCATGTTTGACATACAAACATACCCCACCACCCTTCTTGTTTTTCCTATCCTTCCTAAATAAGGTGTACCCATTTAAGTTAGCTGCCCAGTCATGTGTCTCATCCCACCATGTTTCAGTTATGCCTATTATATCATATTGTTTAGTGTATGCTAATGCCTCTAGTTCCCCCATTTTGTTATTTAGGCTCCTTGCATTAGTAAGCATACATTTAATATTATGCGTCACTTGTATATTTTGTGAATTTTCAACATTACACAGCTTCTCTGTTCTGAGCTTGCCCCTCCCCCCGTTTCCACCCCCCTTATACTGTGCTAAAGCCCATCTCATTTCTATCCTATCTCCATTTTGTAAATTGCTATGACCCTCCCCCCCTACTACTAGTTTAAAATCTCCTCCAACCTTCTAGCCATCCTATCCCCCAGCACTGCAGACCCTCTCCCGTTTAGGTGCAATCCATCACCACTATAAAGGTTGTACCCAATCGCAAAGTCGGCCCAGTGCTCTAAAAACCCAAAACCCTCCTTCCTGCACCAAGACTTAAGCCACGCATTGACCTCTCTAATCTCCCGCTGCCTTTCCACTGTAGCGCGTGGCACAGGTAATATCTCAGAGAATACCACCTTGGAGGTCCTTTTCTTAAGTTTGCTACCTAATTCCCTGAAATCATTCTTTAGGACCTTCCATCTTCCTCTTACTTTGTCATTGGTACCAACATGGACCATGACCGCTGGGTCATCCCCAGCCCCTCCCAATAATCCATCCACTCTGTCAGCAACATGCCGGACCCGAGCACCCGGGAGACAGCAAACTGTCCGGTTGAGCCGATCAGAGCGGCAGATTGCCCTATCTGCTCTCCTAATGATAGAGTCCCCTACCACCACAACCTGTCTTATATAATGCAGAGTGTGTGTGTTTGTAGTGTGTGTGTATATAATGCAGTGTGTTTGTGTAGTGTGCATTAAATAAACACACTACACAAACACACTGCATTATATACACACTATGCAAACACACTGCATTTTATACACACACTGCATTATATAAACACACTACACAAACACACCGCATTATACACACACTATACAAACACACTGCATTATATAAACAGTGTGTTTGTGTAGTGTATGTGTATATAATGGAGTGTGTGTTTGTATAGTGTGTGTGTATATATTGCAGTGTGTTTGTGTAGTGTTCATTATATAAACACACTACACAAACACACTGCATTATATACACACACTATACAAACACACTGCATTATATACACAGTGTGTTTGTGTAATGTATGTGTATATAATGGAGTGTGTGTGTGAGGGGGCATTTTTTATTAAATTATTATTATTTTTTTAAATGTAATTATTATTTATTTTTGTTGTCCCCCCTCCCTGCTTGTTGCCTGGCCAGGGAGGGGGGACATAGAATTCCCTGGTGGTCCAGTGGCATTGGCTGAGCTGTGGACGGGCGGGCAGCAAGCGTTTACTCACCTCCCAGCAGCTCCTCCATCTCCCCAGTGTAAGTCTCGGGTTTGTAATGAGCCTGGCGGTCCTAGGAGGTATTATCGGCAATATTGGTATCTGAATTGGCTGATACCGATATTGCCAAAAATACAGAATATCGGCCGATTATATCGGTAAAACCGATAATCGGTCGATCTCTATTGTTTACACTTTGGGAGCTTATACTCTGATTCTTTGCATTCCTATCCATTTGTATGTTCCACTGACATCACATTAGTCTAGGTTGGTAAGATAAACATGCTGCACACATCACCACACAGCACATAAACAGATAAATTAGATAGATGGAATGTGTGAGTGTTATGAATATATTGTAACTCTGTAATACTATAAATCTGTAACATTCTTCTTCTGTAACATTTAACTGGGCAGATTCTAAGAAACATTTTCTCTCTGGTAAGAACTATGGTGTTGGCTGTTTATTTGTAATATCGGGTAGAATACCTTAGTAGTGCTAGTCATATATTTATTTGGACAAGGGGATAAAGATATATGTTGGTTCTTGGAAGAGGTTACACAGGGATATTACACTCACTATTAATACACAACGCAGAGTGGATTTCTCTCAAAAGGATACCAATTGGAAGTATTGGTGGTGAGAGAAGATGCTAAAAAGATGCTAAAAAAAATATATAAAATTAATTAAACTAAAGTAAAAACTGCAATGTTATTAATAGATATGTTACTTATCTCCCCTGGAGCAGTAAAGAAAGAGGAAGGAGTTTGAAGATCATTCAATATAAAGACTATGCTGGATGCTGATTGGCTGCTGAATATTCCATTTAACTGTTTTTTTCTTCTTCTATTGTTCACTAAACTTTATTTACATTTCTATGCTGCTGGAGTTAAATTAAGAAGTTAATTCATAAAATGAGTCTTGTTATAAAATCACAGATTTGCTATTTTTGCCTGAATTTTGCACTTAGATTTCAATATGCTACAGGATAGTAAATAACCACGAACATGTTATTTCTATGTGCAACTACAGAATACGTTAGTGCTTTCACTGATATTAAATATTTCTTAGAATACAGCATCAGCTACAGTATAGCCACTCTAATTTAGTTTTAACCTGAGAAATGTATGAGGAATAACACACTTGCCTCTTTCATGCGCCTTTCTTTTAATCTTCTTTTGTTATCAAATGAGAGCCAATATTAACCAACAACCCCTGTACTTTTTATAGGGCAGTCTATTATCATAATAATAATAGTGCAATTTCTTTAAAAGGTACAAGTTATTTGACATATATTTCTTGAAGTTTTATATAATGCTTTTTGAACGTATGTTTGTTAAGTCAAGTGCTTTACTGTGGCCTTGTTCTTACGCTTACATATTCAGGTTTTCTCATTTCTTCTTTGGTTCATATTGACTATAACTTACCTCAACATTCTAAAGATAACCTTGGCATTTCTATATGTTCCCGATTAGTGTACAACTTTTTATCTTATTTTCAATTGTCTATAGACTGTAAGCTCGTTTGAGCAGGGTCCTCTTCAACCTATCATTCCAGTAAGTATTCTTGTAATTGTCCTATTTATAGTTAAATCCCCCCTCTCATAATATTGTAAAGCGCTACGGAATCTGTTGGCGCAATATAAATGGCAATAATAATAATTGTCATATGGTTCTTATTTAGTGTATATAAAATGGCAATACAATGAATAACTCTGTATTTACTATGTTGTTCTTCTTTTCTCTGTCGTCCATACTTGTTGAGTTCAGTACTAACCTCTTCAATATTTACTCTTCCAGTATCTAGTCACTTTAAAGGTACAATTTAAAGGTACCTTTAAAGGTACAATTATGGATCACATACATAATTACATAGTGACTACATCAGCTTGAACAGCCGATCTGTACGTACTTGGACATAGTGTCCTTATGATATACAGTATAGTTTTCACTGTCCAGTAATCAGTTAATATTGAGTTCACCAAGCAAGAACTACATTTTTAAGTGTTAACCGCTGATCCCTTATACCTATACACTGCACCTTTTCATATAAAATCTGGACATATTCCATTTAGCTAATTACACCATAAACCAATTATTGATTGTCTATTATTAAACACTTTTAATCGCTCACTGACTTATTTATTATTTAATATATTGGTTTCCTATTGGCATATCACATAATACAGTTACTGCATGTCCTTTTTCAAGTTCATATTTCATCATTCCTTTTCATATTTTGTTTTAATTTTTTTTCATTGTACGTCATATGACATTATCAGGGTCTCTGTAAAATACTTTTACTTTATCTACCTTAAATATCCCTTCGGACATTTTCACCTTTGTCCTTTTCGTGTATTCATGTTCTCCCATTCATTAAGTAAAACCACGTCTCCTGATACACAGTGAGATGATTGGTACATTCAAATACACTTTATCCAATGGGATCGCTATATCCCTAATTTATAACCTCTGATGAGCTAAATAGCTTAACGCGCGTCAGGGAGACTAGAGGCACTTTGCCCTTACTAGCAACATTATTGTGCTGCTACCAGGCATTCAAGATATTTTTCCAACTCATCATTTATTAACTTAGTGCCATTAGGCAACTCTAGCTAATATATTTCAGAAATTACAAACGAATAACATCTCCAGCTACTTTGATCAACTATGTGAGTGTCTCTTTAGCGATTATCATTATACCGTTCTCTTTACATCCTGGAGGAGGCTCTTTGCTTACAACCAGTACAGGGTGAGCTTTTGTTGATGGGGTTAATGGGTGCTCTCGAAGGCACAATAGGGCAAACTAGTTTACACCCTGCGTCTATTTCGCCTGCCCAGTACCCATCGACTCTCCCTGTTTATTCCCCCTAATAGGTTGATTGTGTATATAAATTACACCATTCTGTATTTATTTTCATACAGTTAATAACCTGTCAACAGCGCCATTGAATAATCCTTGTATTAAAACAAGATATCTGCAACATTGTATCTACTAAACATCGCAGTAGTACTCAGGCATATTGTTGCCAACGGCATTCCTGTAAAGTAGAGATAATATGTTATACTTATCCTTGAAATACTTTTCAGTCAAGGATAGGGTACATATACCTCATTTATAGCTTTTTGTACAAATCAGCCTGTTAATTGTGCAGTCATTTAGACCGTCATTATGAATATTAGCCGCAGGGAGATATAACGAATATCCCATCGATGTTATAGCAATAAAGATACAGTAACATCTAGCAGAAGTATCCAAGCAGACATTCAACTTCTTATAATCTGTTGCTATTACTAAGGGTTACATTACCCCTAGTACCATATTTTTATCGACACAGCACCATACTATTACAGATACAGAGGTCTGATACCTCTTCTCCATTTACTACCTATTTCGTATTTTTACGACAGTGTATTAAGGTGCTAGTTTATATATTCTTATATAGGCTGTTTTAGCCATTATAACTATATACTCTTCATTAATTATTGTTTGTGTCTTATTTGTATTATATATAATTCTATTTGTATTTGTATGTGTGGTCCATTTTGTTTCTTTTTTGTCCTATTGGACTTTTTAGCTTTAAATACTAAGTTTTAACATACTTTTATTTTTACATTTTGTTTCACTGGTTCTAGTTAAAAAAAAAAAGAAAAGTTGTAACAATCTCCCAAGCTAGGCAGAGGCTCAGACGTCTATATGGTTCCACATTTTGAAAGATTTGACCGTCCTGACAATGGTCCTTCAGTATGCTGTGGAAAAAAATGGTTAGCAAGAAGTGAAAACTAAAAATGTACGTCTAAGTTTGGAGCATAAAGCAATGTGAAGTACTTGAGCTAAAATCGTAAAGTACTCAAGCTAAAGGCCCTCTATAGAAGGCACATGCATTTTTCTTTTATAACCTTTTCATTCATATCTACAGATTTCTGACATACCAAAATTTTTACTCATTGTAATGAAATGATTGAATATTTGCACGATAAAATCTATTACACTTTCTAAGATATAAATCTGTGCAAGGTTAATGCTGGATTATGTTGCAAATACCGATGCTATTTAGAAAAGTACTGGATGTTTACTTCATTGGTCTCGGTATTCCATTTCAACCATCTATTTAATGTGTTGACACCTCTAGCAGAAAGTGTGGTATCCTAAGAGTTTCAGAATTTGAAGACATGTTGTCCTTCAAATATTTTTGCAATACTTAACCTCTTGAGGATGATGGCAATTGTACAAGTTCTGATCAAAATTAAAACCTGGAATTTTAATACTTGTATATGTTGTTCAATCATAATTTACCTCTTTCATATTAAGTGCACCTACTTATTACGTACCATTTTGTCCACGAGACCAAAAATAAAAACCAAGAAAACATTCCACATTATATGCAACTTTTGTTAATGTGATGCCTTTGACATCTCCCACTGAGTACCAGAAATTAATGTGGCACATTGTAAACTGTGTTTGTGGCATGTTATAAAAAAAGATTGTCAAACAAAAATATAATTTTGTTCAGGAGAAACAGAGCTTTCAT